CCTGGATGGGAAGAGAAACGTCTTCAAACTTGGAAACAAAATCCAGTGGATTGATTTTTTACTTTTTTGGATTTAAAAAAGTGTCCAACTCAACCTGAAACAAAGGGTAAAGATAACTTAGAAAATAGAATAGAATAGAAAATCCCTTTATTGTCCCACGATGGTGAAATTCTGGTGTTTACAGCAGCAAAAATATCGTAGAAAAAATGGTTACACAAATGTGGACGTTAGAAAAAAATCATAAGACCAATACAATGATATTAAGATTAAACTAATAAATAAGATTAGAACCATTTTGCACTAAAGCAGAAAGAAAACTTGAATTCTAATAAAAGGAGCTCATCGACGACTCAACCAGGAGGTCAGAGAAGAGCTGAATGTGAGTGAAAACATCTTAAAATATCCTTAATTTCTGCAGAAATATTCTATGGATTATTCTGTTACATCATGAGTAAAACCAACCCTGCATTTCAGAACAAATAGATCATACAGCACGGTAGTGGCAGAGTGATGCTTTGGAGTTGGTTTGCAGAGATTAAAGCTCATCTATGAAACTATCCTTGATCTTTTTCCTTTATATCCAACGTCTTTCATGTTATTTCATTCACTGAAAATCTGTTAACGATACAAACGGTTCCAACTGAGAACAAAGCATTCAGTTTCTTCACTGTAGACTGAAATTTTATTTTATTTTTTTTTTAATTTTCACGGAATAACTGTAGACTGAACAGTGACAGAGCAAAACTTTTATTGGATGGTGGAAAAATCTTTTCTCAGGGGGGTTAACAGACTATAAGAATGAATTGTTTCATAATCATTTGCAATTGGTATTTCCAATAGAAGAGATAATACTTATGTCTGTAATTTGCACTTTAGAGAAAATGTGAAGAAAATTATACAAAATCTTGTGTCGTATATTAATACTGTATAAGTAACCTGGTTATAAAACTTGTTTTATTTTTCTGCCGCATTTTCTGTTATAAATTAGATTATTTTAAAGGGAGTTACTTATCTTTTGCTAAATGTAAATGACTACCGGGGTTTTACTTAAAGTTACATTTTTATTAGTCAATTTTTTTTTTTTACTTGGTAACTATTCTTTTATTTAAGTAAAAATGTATTAAATTTGTACTTTTTCCACCTGATCATAGCATCAACTGCTGTACAGGAGTGACTGGTTCTTCCACGTGTCAATCATTTGGACGGCAACATGGAGGAGAATCAGATTTCTGGGGGTCCAGTCCCCTATTTCCCCCCTTCTAGCTCCACCTCTGCAACTGAACAAACTTGCTTTTCTGAATGTGTAAATAAATGCTTAATGTTTAAAATAGTCAAAAATCTGGATGCAGATCTTCTAACTGAACAATTTTGTGTCTAAAATGTTAAATATATTATTGGAATGTTTTCCTTTATTCACATTTTAATTTATCTTCTCATTAATAATAATTACTGATAAAATTGTATGTGCAATATTTTTTTGATGCTGTTTTTGTATACTTCACCTTAAACACAACATTTTAAATCTCATCTGGCCCTTTCTGGTTATATAATGTTATAATTAATAATATTAAAATATCTGTAATTTATAATAGATTAGATCACAGGTGTAGCCAGCCAATAACTAATGTACACTGAGGGGTTTTAACGAGCAAAACATCCATATTTTCTAAATAAAGACAAACTATACTTTCTTGCCTTTGATAACAAGTAGACGCATATATTTAAACATCCTTGCTGTCGAAAATAAAGGTTGAGTGGATAAAATTCTTTCAGGTGTTCTTTTCCATCGTCTAATAATCATTCGGAATAAAATAGCTATTTACAAGTACTACCGGTAATGTCTACATAAAGTAAATTTCTCCACAGTGACATCAATAGAGTCAATCAATCAATAAACTGATTATTTAATAGGTTTTTATTAAAATATGTATCTATGATTTAACTAAAGGCTCCTATATGACTTGCATTTTCTCTTTACCCCTTAAAACACAAAATCTAGTTCTGAAAAGAGCAGGAATTCTGTACTTATCATCTGTAATGTTAGTATATAGATGTTCGTTATAAATCACAGTGCTTTTGTTGTCAAGTAATCAGGGGCGGAGCTAGATGGGGGGCCAGGGGTGGCTATGGCCACCCTTACCTAATCATTGGCCACCCCTGTGGCCACCCCTATCATTTTAAGCAACAGTAATACTCTAAAGTGGAATGCTCTAAATTATTTAAGATTTTAATTTTCTATATGTAAATATATTAGCTAACAACAAAAACCCTGTGGTTAATTATGCACATCAATATGCTTACATTAAAGATAAATACAGAATTAATGCTCTTTTCAGAACTAGATTTAGTCTTTTATGGGGTAAAGAGAAAATTATGTCTCTGCAAGTCATCTAGGAATCTTCACTGAAATCAGAGATAAATAACTACTTTAATAATTAGTAATCAATTTATTGTATATATTAGTACATGTAAATATAAATTTTATGCTGAATGATTCTTAATAAAATTAGGTTAGTAATGACAATAAATAAGATGTTCGCCCCAGAACTCAAAACTAAAAGAATTTAGTCCACTACACCTTTAATTTAGACAGCATGGATTTTTAAATATATGCTTCTATTTCTTAGAAAAGGCTGTAGAAAAGTATAGTTTGTCTTTATTTAGAAAATATGGATGTTGTGATTGTTAAATTTCCTTTTGGAACAGTGTAGGTTTTGGCACCTATCCACTTTTGGCCACCCCTCAGTGTACATTAGTTATTGCCTGGCCACCCTTATTAAAATTTTCTGGCTACGCCTCTGCAAGTAATTGTTAATATATGATTTTTTTTTAAAGTTTTGAATATTCCACTTAAGAGTATTACTGCTGCCTCTGTCTATATTAGAGGGATAAATTTGATAGGGGTGGCCAATGATTGGCCCCGAGCCCCCCATCTAAATCCGCCCCTGCTTAAGATCAGCAGGTTTATCTCTGAATGGTTAAAAAGCTGCTTTCATATTGGCCTAGTCAAAGTATGAAACCTAATCCAATTGATGTGCTGCTGTGTAATCCTAAACATGTTGTTTTAAAAAAATCTGCAAAGCAGTCTAAATTCAAAGAGCTGATGCTATTTAGGGTCATCTTTAGGGGTAATTACATTTTTTTATTATTATTAACTGGTTATTTTACTGAAACATTGTAATGTTTTTGCTGATCTGAATAATTTAAATGGTACAGAAAAGTTAGAATAACAAGGCTAAATATTTGCAGTGTCTCTAGCCATCATTTATCAATTGACTCAAACTCATCTGAAGCAAAAAAAAAAAGACTCTTTGCTTAAACATATATTTTAATTCTTCATTGAGCTCAAAGATCAAAGTGTTTTTTATGAGCTGATCCTTTGTTATTGTTCAGGTTCAGCGTGTTTCAGCCTTTATAAATGAGTAATTACACATAAAAACCAACTAGAACCGAGAGTCTTTGTGTTTGGAACCCAGTCGGAGCTGTTTTCATCATTTTCTCATCTGTATTTTTAGAATATTTCCTGTTTTTATTGCGCTCATTGTGTCTCATTGCAGTCTGCCGCGCGCGCTCCCGCGCGGGTTTTACGCGGGCTCGCCTGCCTCGCGTCTAGCCCCCTCCCTTCTCCCTCCCCCACTTCCCCCAACCTTTCCCCCACTTCGCACGCGCTGCCGGGTTCACCGGGTTTACTCTGACACCGCTGACTCCAAGGCCACGCCCCCCGCCGGCCACGCACCCCGCCCCTGTCCAATCAGCGTACAGTCACGTATATATCCCGCACCGCCTCGCTGCTGATTGGTCCCTGCCCGCTACACCTTTAGCTGTGATTGGCTGCGTGTTACCACCCGCCAGACTTGCTCTGAATTTCGTTTCTGTGTTGTTTTTTTTTTTTTTTTTGCTCACAGCTGAACTGAAGCTCGGTCTGCAGGCAGAACCCCAGCGCTCCGAACTCCTGCTCCCTCCTCTGCTCCTCTTCGCTCCTCATGCGGAGCTCCGCGGCGGACAGCCGCTGTCAGGTGAGTCCCGGCTACCTGCAGCTCGGCCCGGTCCGCTCCGCTCCGGTTTCGGACCGTAATCTTTTGTTTTGATGGGATTAAAGTTGTCCGATCATCATGGGGGACCGAGCCGAGCCGCTGCGGGTTCTGTACCGGCTCCGATCCGGTTCCGCTGCGGCTCTGTCAGCCGGTTTATCTGAGGTCACAGTGAACCCGATGAACCCCTCGGTTTTTGCGCGCGCACGTGTGTTTATGTGCGGATGCAGGACTACACGTGCCTGCACGTGTGTGCGCGCGCGCTCTAACAACAGTTGCATCTCTGCAATGCATCCATTCATCCCAGAAAGTTTGCAGGTGTTTGATGGTTTCACTGGTTTCCTTTGTTTCTGAACAGGAAATATCGATCCGTTGATTTTTCTCTAAAAAAATATCCTAAAAAATCAAATTTCACATGATGTCCTCTTTGTTTTTCAGTTGAAATAAAAACGTCCACCTCGGCCAGACTAGTTTTTTTAATCACATAATGATTTATTCGAATGCTGACATAGCTTTAAAAGATATATTTAAGCCTGATTAAAAATATTTGTTATGTATATTTTATTGCCTAGTTGTTTTTAAAATCAATATAATGTTTGTTGCAAGTCTTTTTTATGATGAATTTGTCACTTGATGCTGAAAATTGTTTAAAACCTTCTTGTCTCCATGTTGGTCTGAGCTGTGATGATTGATGCAAACTCCCCCTGGAAACAAAGACAGAAGTCTTTGATCCGAACAGGAAGTGAAAAACAAACTAAAAAAGGGCTTAAGGTGGCGATCAGGAGCTGCTCTGCGGTCCTGATGGATCGATTCAGTTGGTCAGTTTCTAAAAAAGAACTTTTAATGTCTGAATGAATCTGTTTTGTTTATAGTCAGGCGGTGCGTTCGTGGGATGCTGGGAAATGGGAGCGCTGGCGTGCTTGTTGCAGATCGACTTTGTTTTGTCTGACTTCCTGTTGTTATCTGTGTTTCTCTCTCTCTCTCTGGGGGAGTCAGTGCATGTTGAAGTAGAAGGGGGCGTGGTCTGCTTTTAGGGGGCGTAACAGCTTCCGTCATCTATTCTGGGTGCAGGGAGGGTCCCCTTCAGCTTTTGTGAAACACAGCAGAGGGGGGGGGGTGTCTCTCTCTCTCTCTCTCTCTCTCTCCACCCTTCCTGCCTGTGCAGCTGAGATTTCGCTGCACAAGGTCCAAGTCGGCCAAATACTCTGCAGCCTTTTGTCCTTAAGTAACCTCCCACCCTGCCACAGCTACCTCCGTTTATTTCCTCATTATTTGTATGTTTTAATTTCTCGCAAACCTCCTGGTTTTGCTTTTTTTAAAAACCTGTGATGTTGTGGTTCAGGCTCTGGAGCAAAGTGGGGAAACTATGATATCATTGGTAATTAGATGGGCGGCGTGCGCCCGCGCTCCCAGAGGAAGAAGAAAGCAGGCTGGAAAACAGCCTCCCTGCAGTCGGAGGGTGCGTTCAGGTCATGAGGGACGGACCGTCTCCTTTCTGCCTCTCCTGCTGCTGTTGTTTGTTTTTTTCGCTCGCCCAACACGTTATCAGCCCAAAGCCTTTTTATCTTTTCTTTGTCTCCAACCCCGATCAGAACCATGACAAATTTTCTCTTGCATCATTTATTTCTTTCATAGAAAATTAAAGATTTTGGATTTTGGGGCATCAGTACAAAAGAAAACCCTTGAATTCAAATATTTCAACCTTTATTTAAGGTTTAGATCCCTTTCTATGAAAGTTTTTTGTCCGTCTATCTGCCAACTATATAGAAATACTCTCATCCGACACTAGGGGTCGCTACATTACGATGAAATAAGCATCGCAACCTTCAACTTCTTTCATGATTCATAATAAATATGAAAAAGCTAGTATAAATATGTGTATGTGGGTGTTTGTTTTGGACCTTAACATTTTTTCTTTGTTAGAGAGTCCAGAACGTTCTGTTCTCTGCTCTAACTGATGGGAACTAACATTTGAACACGATGACCTCGTTGAATGCGAGTGGCGACCGGATCAAACTGACCTCCTCGTCTTCTTCAGGTCGATCTTGTGAATAAAGACGCGTCGGCGCTGGCGGCCATGGAGCAGAGGCCGTGCATCGAGTACCACGACCTCGAGGCCGCCGAGGCGCTGGTCAGCATGAGCTTCTGGTGTCAGAGGCCTCCTAAGCCCCGCCCGCTGACGCCCACCTCAGACTCCTGCGACTCCATCCAGCTCCACCCGGAGGGAGGGGACCCTCCCAAAGATCTGATCGCTCTGTCGTCCCTGGTGAGAAAACGACATGTTGGACAACTGTTAGCGGCTCTTTGAAATGTGACTAATAAAGTTATTCTTTCCTAGTGCATGACTCCGCCTCACAGTCCGAGCTTCGCCGAAGCGTCCACCACGACTGTCCTCAGCACCACCTCTGCACTTAGCCCCGCCTCCAGACAGCTCTTACCTCGCCCTGCCTGCCCCCCACAGCCCTGCTCCTCCCCCATCTCCCCAGAGATCTCCACCTTTCCACCTCATGTGGAGTTGGCTCCGCCCAGCAAGGCGATGGCCACCAGCGTCATTCGCCACACAGCCGACAGTCTCGGCGTTCCCGCGCCGCCGCCCGCCTCCCCGGAGGCAGAAACCTCCACGCCAGCTCAACCGGAAACCCCAGAGTTGCCTCCCGCGGAGAAGAGCGGACCTCCTTCGTCGTCTCCGGTGCATTCCGCTCCGCTGTCTTCCTCCGCCATTCCATCTTCTCCGGTTCTTTGTCAGGTGTTCCCCGTCAGCAGCCAGACGGGAATGATTTCCGCCTTCGTCCAGGCTCCGGTTCAGGTGCAGACTCAGTGCGGACCCAAGCCCATCCTCCCCCAGTCTCCTCCGCCTACCTTCACCCAACCACTGCTGGTGGGCTCCACCGTCCCGCAGGGGGCCGTCATGTTTGTGGTCCCCCAGGGACACATGTCCCAGACGACGCAGGGTCCTCAGACTGTAATGACCCTTGGCAACACCAAGCTCCTCCCCCTGGCGCCCGCCCCCGTTTATATGCCGTCGGGAACGACCAATGGCGCATCGCAGGCAGACTTCTCCCGCCGGCGGAACTATGTGTGCACCTTCCCAGGCTGCAAGAAGACGTACTTTAAGAGTTCACACTTGAAGGCTCACCTGCGTACCCACACAGGTACGCGTCGGACGGCGAACAGGAAAACGGAGGCGCTCGCTCTGTGGTTCGGGTGGCTCTCTAACCATCTTGTTTTTCTCTCCCTACAGGGGAGAAGCCATTCAGCTGTCACTGGGAGGGCTGCGACAAGAGATTCGCCCGCTCCGATGAGCTGTCCCGCCACCGCCGGACGCACACGGGGGAGAAGAAGTTCGTCTGCACCGTTTGCGAGCGGCGCTTCATGCGCAGCGACCACTTGACCAAACACGCCCGGCGGCACATGTCGACCAAAAGGGCGTCGGCGTGGCCCGCCGAAACAAGAGACCTCATCAAAGGAGCCGCGCCCAAGAGCCAAAACAAAGGCCCCGCACTTCCTGTTGGCGTGCTAGTTCCGGCCGCCAACTGAAAAGACTAGCGGAGACCATAGGGCCAACTCAGGACTCCCGAAGGGTTAGGATCAGCTCCACCAGGATCGTCTTAAGGCCCCCGGCTACGTTTACAGACATCAGAACAGGGTCCGAAAAACTGCGTCGAACCGAGATCAAGAACTTCCTGTAAAGACGTCCGTCCCCCGTCATGGAGGAAGCGCTACGACCTCTTAATCAGACCGAAGTAGCGCTTCATCTACGCACCACAGTCACTCCAGACATTTTCAAACATCTGTATAAGATCCGAGCGCTGCCATAACCCGGACACACAGCTTTTCCGCTCTACTCAGGACATTCTGCTCCCACAACCACGAAACTCGCTGCAAACGGAAGGAGGAGGACATGAAGGCTGCTACTCATCCACACACAGAAACCCACAAAAACCTGACTTTGCACTGGATTTTTAAAGCTAAAAATCTTACCTTTTTATACTCTCTCCATGTATGATGTTTACTTCATGTGTATATGTCACATTTAGCAAAACGTATGCACACGATTTATTGTTTGCCAAAGCTTCTGTATCGTGCTTCTGTTACTAGCCGACTTCTGTTTGTTTTTTGTTTTTTTTTTGTACATAATGTAAATATACTGATATCTATATGAATGTTACATGTATTCCAGTCTCCATTTATTGATATTTCTTTTTTTAATG